CGCAGAATAAACTAAGCAATAAGCTTCTGAGAAGCCTGAGGGTTTTCATAACTTTGCTTTGATGGGTTTTGAGTCCTGGCTCTAATTTCCATGTAGGCAAGGTACTTGTTCATTCTTCGAGGTCAAGACTGACCTGAGGGTTTTGAATGGCTCTAAACCAACACAGCGTGTGATTCCCTAACTCCAGGAAGTCCCAAAGACCCTTTCAGGGAATCTATAAAATAAACATTTTTTAAAAAGATTCGATTTACTTATTTGATAGAGAGAGATCACAAGTAGGCAGAGAGGCAGGCAGAGGGAGTGGGGTGTGAAGCAGGTTCCCCGGCGAGCAGAGAGCCCGATGGGAGACTCCATCCCAGGATCCCAGGACCCTGGGATCACGATCCGAGACGAAGGCAGAGGCTCAACCCACTGAGCCACTCAGGTGCCCCAATAAACACTCTTTTCATAATAATTGAAATGTTAGTAACTCTCACTTTAATCATTAATAGCAAAACTAATTTCTTAATAATACTAATCATCTAATCAGTAACTATTTTCATTTTTCACTGCATTAACATTGGCCCTGACGGTGTGAAAACACTGGTGGATAACACTACTGATACATTAGCATGAATCAAGACAGTAGTACCAGCATTCACTGTTTCTTTTCACTAGCATGTGCTCGGGGCGGGTTGGGGGCGGGGGAGCTAGTCTTACTTTTATTAAATACTGACCCCTTGAGTATAACTCTTTTTATTATATGTGCTACCAAAGCAAGTACATACATATTTTTAGAACAGTCCATGTGATAAAATGGGCAGTACCCATGAAGCACTCTGCTGTATGCCCAAGTATAGTGGTCACCTTGAGATGAAGCACGATTTGAGTTGTGAGCTGAACTAGTCATATTGGTCATGAAATGCCTTTCTTACTTGAATGAATGAATGAATGAATGGCAAACTATGGCATTCAGATTTGGGTATCTGGCAGAGAGTTTCTCAAAAATTAATGAAGCAAGCCTGTTACTTCAAGGAAAATAATTGACAGTATTTTACCAATGATAAGATCGGAGATTTTCAGTGGAAATTAGAATTCCAAAAAAATCAAAGCCACCTCACTGAGCATGATAGCTTGCCAATACTTGAAGACTTTTCTGATGAGATCAGTGATGATATTAGTAACTGTGATTTTTAAAATATACTATAATGACATGTCACAGTATTTGAAAGATTTATAGAGCTTAGTGAACTGATATTTTCCAAATGACCAACATGTGCTGTTACAGAATCAGTCATACGTGGCTAAAAGATACATTCAAAATGAAAAATAGATTAATGCATTTGCTTGATAATGTTTTAGATTCCACATGGCAACTAACCTTTAAGAAGCTACTACTTGCCAAGTTTTAATGTAATATCAAAGAGAAATATTCACAATGATCTGTAAAGGCTATTAAAATATTCCTTCTTTTCTCAACTACATCTTTGTGAGACCAGATTTCCTTTCTAATATTCCTTTTTTTTTTTTTTAAAGATTTTCCTCAGTACCCTGGGATCATGACCTGAGCTGAAGGCAGATGCTTAAACAACTGAGCTTCCCAGGTGCCCCAACTTTGTATATCTCAATCTAAACAAAATATCACTACATCAAAAGGAGAAGCAGATATAAAAATCCAATTTTCTATTACTAAACCAAACATTAAAGACATTTGTAAAAATGAAAAATACCGGCACTCTTCTCACTCATTTTTTATTTGGGAATATATTTGTATGTAACATGTAACAGATGTATTCTAAGTATCTTTATTTATTTAAAGTAGGCTCCATGCCCAGAGTGGAGCCCAATGTGGGGCTTGAACTCACAACCGAGACCTGAGTGGAGATCAAGAGCCAGGTGCTTAACCTACTGAGCCACCCAGGTGCCCCATGGATTAATGTTTTAAATGTTCTCAGTTTTAATTTTTACTATGTAAGTAAATATAAATATCTAAACCTACAAAAAGGTTTTTGAGATCCTCAGTAATTTTTAAGAGTATAAGGAGGTTGTGAGATCAAAAACTGTAACAACCACGATTCTGAATAATTCTCTAAATTTGAGCTGGTCTCCTTTGCCCTAAGAAACATAGGGCTTAGGGCAAATCTATAATAGAAAATTATCACTTCTTAGTCTGTTTAGGTGGGGGAACATTGTTTAGAAAGATCGTCAGGAGCTGGAGTTGATTGTAGTTCTTTCTCACAGTAACAGGTAAGTCTAATAGAGGAGAGCCATTGAGCTCAAGAAAGGCAAGTCAAATACCTTTCAGGAAAGATAGGCTGTCAAGTCTGCATCCAAGGAGAGACAAAGCGCTGACCCCCCCCCCTTTTTTGTACCTCTATATGCCTATATACTATTACTATTTGTGTAGATATGAAACTTATGTGCTTCTTTAAAGGCATTGGAAAGATTTTTTTCCTCCTCTGAAACTCTTTTTGATTAGGAATCCGTTTGCTCTTGATATACGTTTCTCTATAAAATAGATTAGGAAGAAATTTGTCCTTTTGTGACCAAAAAAGATCAAAGGGAGTTGCAGTCAGATCTCACCCTGGGTCCACAATTTCTACTCAAGAGGCATAATAAAAAGTGTTAGAACAATCCACTGCTGTCAGAACAGTACCATGGTCGACTTCCTAAATTTAGCTTTACGATTTATGAGGGAATCCTCAGTTGTCTGTCTCCTCTCCACTCAACAAACAAACAAAACCAGACCTGAGGTTCAGTCTCATGTCTACACCAGAATATTGACAGGCTCTGAATTTAATAAAGAATAAAAACCAGGAGAAGCCATTTGACCCATTTCAGTCTCTTGGTGTCCGGAAATTTCCACCTCGCTGTGATGAAAAGAATCAAGTTATGATCTAACTCAAGAATGGGTTGTTATTCAAGAGGAAAAGAAAAGAAGAGGAACCAATTCTAGCTTCAGATGGGATTGTTTCTGAAAATAGGAGACAGAGCATCACCAGTGAGGTCAGAGCAAGAACTGCCTGGAGTCTCCCAGTAGGCTTTTCAATTCTTGTTTTGATCATTGCTGGAAGCTTCCTGATATCACCTTCTATATCCACCCAGGACATCTTGGTCACAAATTACCGTTTCTCTTCCTCAAGACTTCTCACGCACAAGGAAAGTAAAGAATAAGGACTTATGAAAATCCTGGAGTCAGCCTGCCTGGGTGTGATCTAGTGGGGAGATAACTCCACCTCTCGATGCCTCAATTTCCTCCCTGTAAAATGGAAAGAGTGACAGCACTTACTTGATAGGTTTTTTTGTTAGGATTATCTAAGATAATGAGTACAAAGCACTCAGCACAAGACACGGCACATATTAAGACCTAACATACATAAGTCATTATCAAGGCAATTCTGTTTCATATTCCCATCGATGAGCAGCTTTTTCCGTTATTTTCTCAACATAACCCTTTCTTTCGGGGCTTTTGATCTTGAAGGCATCTAGTCCCTCATATCCCTGAGTCATCATCATTAAAATGCCTGGTTTCTGAAGTCATTCCTCCCCCTCCTGCTCTCTAGGGCTCCCTCTCCTGACTGTTTAGCTCTGAGGGTGGGGGGCCCAGACCAAAATTCCATGATCACGCGTCTCTGCCGGGGCTCGGCCTTGGAAGAAGGTCCCCAGTCCTCTAGGAGACCACGTAAGGCGCGAGAAAACTGACCTCCACCGAACTCGGAGAAACGCCCCAAGCCACGAGTGGGCGCGAGCCCGGAGGCGGGGCCGCGCACCAGGGTGAGAACGAGGCTGGGGGCGGGGCCGAGCTCCGAGGTGAGAGCGAGGCCACACCCCGAGGTGAGCGTGCTGGGGGCGGGCCCACACCCGACATGAGCTAGAGGCCGGGGGGCGTGGCCGCGCCAGGGATCCTCCCGGACCGTTAAGGATGCGCCAGCCGCCTCCCCAGGCGGCGCGCGCAGCCATCCCCGGGCTTGAGGCAGCGCAGGGGTTAAGGCCGCCGGCGCCACCTGGGCGCCGCTGAGGAGACCCGCGAGCCGGCGAATCCCGCGCGGGCGCAGCGAACAGGTGCCGGCGCGCGTCAGGCGCCGGCAAAGGGCGGGGAGAGGGGGCGCGGCCGGAAGCCCGGGGCGGGGTGCCGCCGGCCCGGTGAGCCGGAGGAGCTGAGGGAGGCAGGAAGGAGCTCGCCCGGCTGCGCGGCGCGCGATGTGGAGCCGCCGCCTCGGCGCCTGCAGCAGCCGCCGCCGCCGCCGCTGCTGCTGGGGCTGCCGCCGAGCCGAGGGACATGGAGCGCGGCTGCAGAGAGCGGCCGCCGGCAGCAGCAGCGAGCGTCGCAGCGACAGCGGAGCGCAGCCCTCCCCGTGAGGCGCTGCCCGGCCGGCGGCGGCAGCGGCAGCAGCAGCAGCAGCAGCAACAGGGCGGCTGAAAACTCGGTGGCGGCGGCGGCGGCGGCGGCGGCGGCGGCGGCGGCAGCGGCGGCAGCGGCG